AATTGATTATCATTCTCGTGATAATTTTTATGTTTATCCTTATTGTCATGTTGTAGGGTGTACCTGAATGGTTAAACCCTTACACAAAATTCGGTGATTTATGTCACGGTTAATATTTTCAGATCCCTTGTTTTGAGTTTTAATCTTTCCTTACATGTTATAGTGTTGGGATTTCCGTCGCTTTGGGTCATGGTGAAGTAGTTGTAATACTAATCATGTGATTTGTAAATGACAGATTTATTGTGTTTATTTGTTTTGTATTCCCCAGCATTGTATTGGAATTTCTCTTGTTTAATGTTTCGGCTAATATATCTTATTGAACAATAATACATTAGTTTATTATATATGGTGTACTTTTGAAAACAACATACAACTAAAAATACATTAGTGTATAATATATATGTTAGTACTTCAAAAAACAACATACAACAACTAGAAGTATATATTGTGTTGATAAGATTGAAAAGAAAAAAGTGGGAGTAGATAGATAATGATTTTTTTTTTTGTTCCAAAATAAAAAAATATATATAATCTTAGAACTTAGATCCGATGAAAAATTAACGTGGCGAGACAAGATTGAAAACCACATGAACATACTTATGGTTCATTTCAGCTGCAAAAATCTATTAGGTAGAACCTTAGACTGAACAATGTGGTTGAGCTAATAAAAGGAGAAAGGAAATTGGGCAGATATTAATTCAACAAACTTTCAATTCCTTCCCTTTGAAGCAGAAAAGATTTTACAAATTTATCTGAGCCACCAAAAATAAGTGGACTTTTTAATAAAAGTTTCATGGAAGTGAAATTTATGTTTGCCTAATTAGGCTAAAAATCAAGTTGTAGTCTTTGTAATGATATTAAAACATAACTCTTATAGCCATTCCATTATCATTGCTTAGCCAAAGTTTCCATTCACACTCTTAGTCTTGGAAACTACATCCTCAACAGGGATTTATAATGAAGGAAAATTTTAAAAAATAAATAAATAAAAACATATAATAAATAAACAATTCGACATCTTCAGTTCGGGCCTGCCGGGCCACGGGCCGTGGATTTGCTCAATGCGGCAGTTTTGCAAACAGGACAAGCGTTTTTGAACAGCAACCATTGCTTTATGCACTGTGTGTGATGATAGTGGCCACAACTAAGTGTGCTAATATCATCACTTCTTTTGCTTTTCTCCTGCATAATAATACAACAAACATTATCATACATTACCAATTATTTTGTCTCTCCTTATCTACTTTCAACACAATTGACTAATGCTGTGTCGTGATTATCATTGTTATTATATAAGCATCTTAGAAAGTCGATTATCATAACACTTTAGGACAGTGTCAAATGACATTGATGCCAACACTGTACGTTAACCATTTACTAAATTTTATTTATTTGTTTAGAATTATTTTATATTTATTTTTCTTGGTTAATTTTTTTATATAACATTTTTAATACTGCTTAGCATTTTGCAATNCATTTTTAGATAAGAATCTATGTGTGTTAGTTATAATTTTTTTTTTTTTGTAATATAATTATCAATTAATGCTTATCATAAAGTTAAATGCAGTATTCAATCTATGAATTCAATCTATAAGTGTGTTTGATAAACATTATAAGCTAGTTTATAACTTATTTAGTTAGCTAATAAGCTTCATGTATTCAAATAAGTTGGTTTGATAGGACAAACTCTTTTAAAAAGCTCGATCTAATGTCGTAAGCTTATTTGGGTAGTTTTTCAAATATACCCGCTGAAATATTTATTTCAGCTGACTTATAAGTTAATTTTACCAAATATTTTTATTATGTAAGCTCGAAATTCAATTATCAACTATCAGCTAGCTTATCAACTAGATTACCAAACATAGCCACATAAATTGAAATTTGTAGTAGTCAACAGAAACTAATGGAAAAAAAATTATACAAATAAATAAATAAATAAATAAATAAATTGGTTCTCAGGAGAAATTAAAAAATAAAAAATACAGGCAATATGGTTTAACTCACTTGGCAAATGCTGCACTTCCAATCTTTCTGACGAGCAGCCATAGGCAAAGAATTAGAAACAGAGTTGAATTTCCTGAGGCAGCTAAATATCTCCTCTTCTTGCAATCCATTGCCCACATATCCAATCCTATCACTCAACTCAAGAAGCTCCTGCATTTTGCATAATTAACACAAATGGTGTTTAAATATTATTCTGCAAAATAATATGTAATAATGAAAATACTTAAATTTGTTTTTTCCCATTCAAGAATTAAAAAAGCACCTCATACGACATGTTATCGACATTGAGCCTCCAACTGTGGTGTCGATCGTGTTCGTTTAAAATTCTTCTCGAAAATGTAGATTGTTGGGACATCAACATCTGCATTTTAGAAAACAATGTAAACAATAAAAATAGTTTATTTTGAAAAGTATGATTTTTCGGTCGAAAAGTATTTGCAAGTTTGAATTTAGGCCGTACATCTATAATTTCACCAACAGATTGATTAGTTCTGGGGCCTCTGCCATTGGTCACAACTGCTGGAAAATCTGCTTCGTTTATCCTAGCTTCGCGAGAATGCTAACGTAACACGAACAAAATCAGTAAATGAAAAAAAAACATTCACATTTGGTCTGTTAGTTATATAGCTTTTTCAGCTCATAGTTGGCAAGATAATGGCAAAAATAAACTATGATACTACTACCAATTTAGGCTTAAGTTTGGCTGAAATTAACTATTAAGAATTAAGTCATGTTTGCAAACAACTTGTAATTCTGCAAAATTTTGTTCAGCATATAAAACATCCTTTTATTTATTTCTATATTCATTTATTTATGTCCTTAATGTGATACTGGGTTGAGACTTACACAAATAAATGAAGTGCTTTGCAGTTGATTATTATTCACCAAACACATTTTTTGTACTAGACGGTTTAACCGTTAAAACGAGTCGACCCGCCATATATTTTTAACAAAAATGGAACCTTTTGTTATGAAATAATGTTGGTTTTTTAAGTATCACATTTCATTTTGAAAGCATACATATTTGTTAAAAAAGGCAGCCTTGCTGTTCACCAAATTCTTCCATTTTACCTTATTCAATTTTTAGCTTCTTTGCAGACAGACACTCATTAAAGCCAAGATAAGTTTAACACATGCATATTTCCTGTTTTCATTGCAAATTCACA